AGCTGGAGATTTATAGCCAAGGATCAGGTTGTGTGTTGGGGAAAGGAGATGCGTGGGAAATTACTAAGAGCAGATAGCAAGGGTAGGGAGAATTCTTGCTAAATTTACTTAACAGGACTCTTGCTAAAAGGCAGGCCAGTGTGATCAGATACCAAGGTTGGGGGTGGTGAGGAATTTAATTAGATATTGAGAGTGACCAGATATCAAGGGTGGTAGGATTCTCTCTAAGCTGACTTATCAGGATTCTTGATAAAACTGAACTCTGCAAAGGTGGACACTGAAGACAAATGCTGAGGCCTAGTTGAGAAGAGAGCTCAGAGGAGGCTCACTGAAGTTTGGTCAAGAATTTTGTCAGTGCTCTAATGACTAAGGCAAGGGAAGAACGTGTTTGCATACAGAATTTTCATTGTCCAGAACAGTAGAGAATACTGTCACGGTTTACACTGCCATTGAATTGAACTCAAGCCTGATTTTATCATTTGGGTTTCAGTTTCCAATAAACATACACTGGGAGGCAGTATGTAACAAGGTGGCATTTAAACAGGAGTGGTGAAGGAATTTGCCCTGGCAATTCCTGAAAGCCCGGCAAATACAACCACCCTAGGGCACGCTGGTGGGCTGGAGGAAGGACAGAGAATCGAATGTGAATGTAGTGACGAGATCAAAGGATAGAGATGTAGGACTTCAGAGAAGAGGTATAGTGAGACAAATCTAGAGGCCATTGTGAACTCCTTAGATCTAACTCTGAGTGAGATGAGAAGCCATCAGAAGATTCTAAATAGAGACATGGTCTGACTTACATTTTAAAGGGATCAGTCTGACTGCTGTAATGTGAGAATAGAAGGCGAAGACAGAAGCTGGGAGACCAATTAGGGGGCTTTTGCAATAGTCCAGATGAGGCACAGTGTGGCCTCTCCCAGGAGAGGCACTGCAAAGACAGGAAGTGGTAGTCATATTCTGAATATGTTGTAAAGGTAGAGGAGAAGGGTTTGCTGATGAAGAAGCCTGATCTTCTAGAAGGATGAGGTAACTTTTTTTTTTTTTTT